CACACACACACACTGAGAACAGTAAATTACATTGAATATACAAAAAACACACATTACAGCATGTTGTTCCTCCAAACAACTACCCTAACAGAGTCTCGACAAACAACCTCATGAGAAAAAGTTTTTGAGCGTGAATAAAATATGCAATAATATGATTTTAACTTTGCTGTTTGCTGATTTCATTTATACTTTTTGGCTGTTTTCTCATCCCTGTTAGTTATAGTTTGTGTGCTATGTTTAAAGATAAGTTCATCTTTAACTCACCCTGATGTCATTCTAAACCTCTGTGACTTTCTTTCATCTGCGGAGCACAAAAGAAGATATTCTTTTCCATAAACTAACAAGCAATTGGCCCTGGACCCTTCAAGCTTTAAAAAAAACTGCATATACTTACTTTGAAATTATTATAAAAATGGTCTATGCTACTTTATTCTTACCACGTTTCAATTCATTGGTCTAGGGCAGGGATAGGCAAGTTCGATCCTAGAGAGCCGCAGAGTTCAGCTCCAACCCTGAAAAAAAAAACTCACCTGTCTATAGCCTTAGTAATCCTGAAGACATTGATTAGCTTGTTCAGGTGTGTTTGATTAGGGTTGGAGCTCTGCAGGACTGCGGCTCTCTAGGACCGAACTTGCCTACCCCTGGTCTAGGGTAAATCTATTTCATTTTTATAATTTCGTAGAAAAACAATTTTTGTAACACAAAACTACAAAAGTGAATTGACATAAATATCAAACCATTGTTTTTTTCAACAAAATGTAACATTTTCTGTTTATTTTATATGAGGTTTTAAAGACGTTATTTGGAACTTTTTTTAAGTTAAAAAAAAAAGTTTATGGAGTTGTAATTAGAGAACGTTTCAGTGTTTTACACTTTTTCTGCTTGAGAGTTTTCCAGTAGAGGAAACGCAGAGGAATGTGATCTCGGGACAGGACAGGAGGGCTGTGCCAGAGGAGCGTCCCAAACTTACCAAAGTCATTCGTGGAGTTTCTGGAGGCTCCTGGACTGCGTCTGCTGTTCGACTGAGCGCGCATGAAGAACAGGCAGATCAGGACATGAACAGACCGTGTTTTGGCGTGCTCCTTGGGCTGCTGTGGCGGTGTTGTGGAGCTCAGCAGAGAGGTGAGTGGACCCACAGATCTCGTGTGTGTGTGTGTGTGTGTGTGTGTGTGTGTGTGTGTGTGTGTGTGTGTGTGTGTGTGTGTGTGTGTGTGTGTGTGTGTGAGAGTGAGCGCGCATTACGCACTCTGTGAATTCATGTGGCGATTTACTCGCCTGAAATATAGGTTGTATGTAATTTTTGTTTCTTAGTGAAATAGCTGACTCTGTATTACGGTCGACTGCTAGAATTCAAACGATGCTATATATTTTCTGTGACTTACTACTGATATAGCTAACTAACAATATAGTTAGATATTGAACTTATATTGCTGCATTGACCTGACTCTGTTCTGTGTTTTTCATTGAAATCAACCACTTGCATGCCCCCACTTATCACCATTACATTACAATTTGTCTTTGTCTCTGCACTTTCTGCTCAGCCCTATTATTCTGTCTCATTTTCTTGAGCACTTGGCTCGAACAGAGATGAGTTTCTCTAACAAACTTTATCAGTATTTCATTACATTAAATTTTTTATTGGTTCAGTTGTTCATCATGGTGACATTTTTGTCTAAGCACAAGTCAAAACAGTGAATAATGTGCTGTGGTGCAATGAAACCATTCGTCATTTGCACTGATCTTCAGCCCTGTTACATTGAAGCCACAAATGTCATGTTATTTATTTTACTTTTATAAGTACTTTTGTAATCTACTTTCATCATTATGTGTGAGTACAAACGGTGAAACTGAGTGATACTACCAGAATTTGTGCTGTTTAAATTCTCTTTAACCACTTAAGCTCTATTCTGACATATGAGCAGTGGTCTACTTTCAGCTTTCTAACACAAGTAATCAAAGCTTTCTTCACTGAGAACCCTTGAATGAAATCAATTTGTGAGCATCAATGCAGGCACCGTGGAGTGGCCTTTTAATATCATGCTGCTTTAAATGCTTTGTTAAGATCCAAATTGTTTAATTTCTGCAGCCTCTGAAATGCTAGAATCTTCCAGAGCTGCTTGTGTCAATGACATTTCTTTAGCAGAGAAGATTAACCCAGAAAAAACCTGCGTGAAGCATCTTTCATCTTTCACGTAGTTGCTGTTGAGTGTGCATGTCGACTCACGTGCTGTTCTCTATGTTCAAACACACACTGGGGACTGTGTGTGATCACCAGGTGTGTGTGTGTGTGTGTGTGTGTTAGTGTCAGCTAAACCCAGATGTTGGGAGTATTTTTAGAAACTAGGAATAGTTTCTATTCCTGATTTAGTAGACCAGGAATAGTGGACTCAGAATGCAGAGTCAGTATTCTCCGGATGCACTGATTGATGAGACAGAAAGAGTTCAGAAATGGATGTGATGCTCCATCCATGCTGAAAAGACCAGCACTACCCCGAGAAAATTGTCTGTTGTTTTTTCCTACAGATCAATGGTAGTTTCTCGGCTGGAGCAGGACTCTGTGGAAATATGTGACCTGCTCGCTGCCTCCAGAGTAGTGTAGTTTTAACTTGCCCATATTAGCTATAACAAAAACCTGCATGTGCTGAGGACACCAGCCTTCATAGCTTCAACTATAAGACTTTCCTGGTAATCTGCTTTGCTGCACTAAACAGCACTGGACCTGCATGGGAATTCAGGCTGGCCTAAGCTGGTCTTTTCAGAGGGTTTCTGCATAGCATGAGCAGTTTGATATGCTGTCAGAGAGCTTTGTAGTCTCACAAAAATACCACAGCCACATAAATCCCCAGAGAAAGTGTGTGAAAGCAGCAGACAGAATATGCTTACATGTGCGATCCGTCATGAGGCTTTTACTCTTATCAAAATCAATACTTGGTTAATGTGGCACTGAGCTCTAGATGTGATGCTGGTTAGTGGCTCACAGATGCGTGTGGGTTGTACAGTCACAAAGTCAAATTTATTTACTGTTTAAAGAAGCATGTCTGATATACTGTAGATATCTGTTAAAATGTAAGTTATTCCTGTGATGCAAAGCTGAATTTTCAGCATCATTACTCCAGTCTTCAGTGTCACATGATCCTTCAGAAATCATTCTAATATGAAACATTTCTGATTATTATCAGTGCTGAGAACAGTTGTGCTGCTTCATATTTGTGGAAACCGTGATACATTATTTTTTCAAGATTATTTAATGATTAGAAAGTTCTAAAGAACAGCATTTGAAATAGAAATATGTTGCATCATTATAAATGTGTACTGTCACCTTTGATCAATTTAATCCATCCTTGCTGAATAAAAGCATTAATTTCTTTAAAGCCCAAACTTCTGAATGGTAATGTAGATAGAGCTAGAAAGAGAAAAGCATCTTTGTGGCTATTATGCACGTTCAGGCTTTGTCTCTGTAATACCTCTGTCAGAAAAAAAAAACTGATTTCAGAATGCTTGAGGAAGAAAATCAATAGGTAATTCCACAACGGCGCCAATGAATAGCCCAGTCCAATCAGGTCTGACTTTATCCTGGTCACCGCTGATGAACAGATGCAGAAAGTATGCTCTGATGGATTGTTTTCAATGTTTTACCGATTGCTTGACGTTGATTTGCTTGCACACAACACGAATGGCCTCTAGGCTTATTTATGTTTGAGCAGAGAATGGTTTGAGTATAATGACAGAGAGAGAGAGCAAGAGAGCAGGGAGATTCATTTAGTTTGACATTTTGAGCATTGTTCTGTTGAAGGCATTGAGTTGCAGTGCTCCATATTTTACACTAATGTTTCCATTTTTCCCTGCAGTCCCTTTGCAAAAATTACCTTTAGGGGTTCAAAAGCTTGTCATAGGAGCAATAGTATGACATAGTGAGAATATGGAGGAAAAAACAGCTTGGTTTCATTCAAAGGCCCAAACTGAGAAAATATGCAATTTGCTTCAGATGCTGATAATTATATGATGAAATTCTGATCTTAATTAGATCTTTATAACAGTACAGCAGATACTGACATAAAATGATCAAAATATAAGTTGTCACTCTATATCTGAAAAAATAAGTTTTAGTTTTAGTTAAGTTTGTTTATTTTATTTACTGAGCACTTTTACACAACCGACCATTGACCAAAATGCTGTACAATATGTATACACATAAAAGAGACAATCATAACCATAAGAACACAACACTAAAACCACAAAATAAAATAACAATGAAAATGAAACCCTCAGTTTTAATACACAGACAATTAGTGCGAAGAGGTGTTCTTTAAGGTTGTTTAAAAACACTTACTGTGGGTGCCAATCTGAGAGAAAAAGGTAAAACTTTCCAGAGTTTAGGAGCTATCACTACAAAAGCTTAATCTCCACTTCTCCGTTTAGTTCTAGGAATCATCAATGCCAGCTGATCAGCTAACCTTAAAGACCATTTTGGCTCATGTTTCTCAGTCAGTTTCACTAAATACTCCGGAGCCATACTGTGCAAAGATTTATAAACAAAAAACTAAATGTTAAAGTTGATTCTGTAATGGATCGGTAGCCACTGTAATAAACTCAGAACTGGAGTAATTTGTTTACCAAAATATAGCGAGTTGCAGTGATCAAACCTTGTAAATACAAAAGCATGAATTACATTTTACAGATCATGCATTGACAAAAATGGTTTCACCTGCACTATTAATCTTAAGTGATAAAAACAGGACTTAACCACAGATTAAATCTGTTTCTCAAACTTGAGATCACTGTCGAAAAAACTCCTAAATTTTGCAGTACTGGCTTACAAAAGGGGGCTAAACTACACAGATCAGCAAAACTATTTGGGACTCCAAACCACACAACTTCAGTTTTATCTTCATTCAGATTTTAAAAATTTTATGACAGCCATGATTTTATTTCTTGTACACACACTCTATTTGCTTCTTACTATTTTTTTTATATTTTTATTTTTGCAGAGGAAGATACACTTGCATATCATCTGCAGAAAAGTGAAAAGAAATTCCATGCTTAAAGAAAATTGACCCAAGGGGTAACATATACAAAGAAAACAAAATTGGGCTGTGAATGGACCCTTGTGGAACCCCACTAGGCAAAGAGACAGGTTGTGAGTAATCTTGACCGACATTTACATAAAAAGTTATGTTTGAAAGAAATGACTTAAACTATGCAAGCGCTACACCATGAAATCCCACCACCTTTTCCAGCCGTCCGTGTAAAATCTCATGGTCAATTGTACTGAATGCAGCGCTAAAGTCCAATAAAACAAGAAGAGCTGAGGACCCTGAGTCAAATGCATTCAGTAAATCATTTAAATCCTTGATCAAAGCCAACTCAGTACTGTGGTAAGCCCTGAAACCTGACTGAAAAATTTAATATTGACGTAAATGTCATTTTTAAACAGGTGAGTAATTGATTCAAAGCCACCTTCTCTAAAACCATTGATACAAAAGATAACTTTGAAATTGGATACAATAACTTTATTTTTTTTCAAAAGAGGCTAAACAACATAAAGCTTAAACTGATTAGGGACTACTCCTGTTAAAAGACTATTATTTATTATAGATAAGATACTGTAAAGCCAAGCTGCTTCAGACCAGTAAATGTGGTAAACAGTTTTTCTGAGAGTGTACGTAAGTTCTGCAAAGGCTCTCTTCTTATCAAGAAATATTTTAACTTAATGTGTCATTGTATGTTGTTCAAATCAGTATTTGATTCCTGGGATCTTTAAGGCATAATACATAAATGGTTTTCCTACAGAGCAAGAGAATAAAAAGCTTCTTCTGTGACAGACTGTAAAAGACCTTTGGTTGTAACTAGGCAGTTTTAATAGAATAGTTTAAAAATATTGTTCTGTCTTTATCTGCTCACCCTCATGACATTCCAAACCTGTGTGACTTTCTATCCTCTGTTCTTCATATGTTTTTAAAGACTTGGAATGTAGTGCATCTGTAGAGCATGTGGCCCACTTTTATTGGACTTCTACAGAGCTTTAGAGCATCTGTCCAAATTTATTGTCCTTGTGTCGAAAAGAGCAGCAAGAGGATTCGTATGAATGTCTCATGTTGAATTCCACAGAAGAGAGAAAATGA